CAACCGATCCGATTTGGTCCCTTAAGACATATAACATTAGTCGATTGGTTATGAAAGAAGGAGAGCCTATTCTTTATTATCTTAAAGATACCTGCAGCGGCAGTTCCTTGATCCTACATGCAACAAAGTTCTTGTCCTAGGTGATTGACAAAGGAATCTAGGCGCCTACAATAAGCGTCATATATTGTGTGAGGCGTCTGATACGGTTGCCAACTAAAGCCTGGGCCGCTCATTGTGATGACCATGGGTCAATCCATGCTATTGTGTCATTGATGATTTCACAAATGCCTTGTCTCTAAAACAGTGCACATCTGCACCCTACTCTTAATATGTAGAGCTGCTTTCCAGCAGGGTGCCTACATGATATTATATGGATATATTCACTACAAACGTGCATACACAATGACGTTTTCCCGCAGGGGAATTGTACTTTGTTCAGGATGGGCGTTGCTAAGCATTAAACAAAACAAACTTAACTCTTGATGCCAAGACGAAAACGATTCAGTTCGTTCTATCAGTGTCAGCGTTTTACATAATAGATGATATTGATGCAGAGAAAATCGTTATTTCACAGGAATCGATATGTGACAGTTCATGTCCCATTTTAAGCTATATTTCATATGTTTATACTATGCGAAATGACATTTTGTGAACAAAAAAGTGATCCGGAAAACATAAGCCAGACGATTATTTCTCTCTGTGATTTGGTTCAACGTATGACTATGTCAGCACTACCATACTGAAATAAGGCTTATTATAAGGCTCGGCAATGAGTATAGATTCCGCAGCTCTGCACAGCGAGGTGCGGCAACTTAAATCACTCTTGTCTCCGATCAAGTGTTCCCTCACGAATTCGGTGCAGGCGTTACACCTTCACCGAAAGATGACAGAACGTCTGGTTTGTTGACCAATATATTTGGTAGAGCAAGCAGTGTCAGCTTTTGGTGCATTTGGAAAACAGCATTGACCTCCAACTCATACTGCAATTGATGAACTGTTAGTTCTCTCCTGGAATTACAAGTGTATTACGAGATGGTTCGAGGTACGGATCGGGAAGCGAATAACGCCGGGAAAATATTCCGTTCTCCAACAAACCGGTCAAACACATTTCACGTCACCATCTCACATAACGTGTCATGTTTTGCACGTGCGACAAAGACGGCCGTAAAATTGGAGTCCCGTCGATAACACGTGGCATTCCATCTGACCTCGGCAGTCGAAGGAGACAGGATGGCTTTCACGAACTAGTAACCGCCCCTCTAAATAGCTCTGGTTTTATTTCCCAACTCAAGACTTTATTTTTAAAAGTTTAAACTAAGTTGCAGATATTGCGTTAGTGCGCATTGCTAACTTGAAATGGAAACATGAACGGTCTCGCGAGCGATCGAAACCACAGAGACAGAACTTAAAGACATGTGTCTTGGCCTTATGTCCTGCTGTATCCATACCGTATTTTGCATGTGGTAACTCCCTTTCTATATAGGGTACCTGATGCTCAACCCCTCGATAGGTTATGGGGAGTCATTGTACCGTTGACAGGAGAAATGAAAGATAATGTTGCTGTACCTCTCTGGCAATCGTGGTATGGACTTGTGGTGATGCGGGAAAATGTACATTGCTAGTCATACTATTACTCCACCTTCAACGGTATCCATCTTGTTGCATGTTTGCGCCTACAACGTCGTGTAAACATATGTTCTATCGTCAGATGAGTGAAGCGGGAAAATGGCACAGAACTAAGACGACCACTTCTCCTTATCGACATACTCTCCGCACAACTGTTGCCCGAATATGTCGGTTGTTATACATTCAAAATAATAGCCTACAATTGGAGTATAATGAGGCGACAATCGACATACTCACTTGGACAATGATTAATAAAATACGCTTTATAGTTGTTATTTTGGGTGTGGTGGTCGGACAATGTCATCGTTTACCGAAGACCAGCGGTTACCGTACGACACATACCCTCCAAAACGCTTTATGGAAAATGTGATTAAACCAAGTGGGTTAAATACTGAGCTATCTTTCTACAATTTGTAGGTCTGATTTAACGTACGATGTATGAGACACCAAACAAACATTCTGAAAATGTGAAAATATCAAAGGTGTAGTGTTTTCGCATCAAAGGTGGTATCGTTCATCTTTTACTGCTGAGGGTTTTTTTCAGGTAGGCAAGTATTGCTCTGTTCCATTATTCCAATACAAATGCAGTCTCGGAATATGATTCCAGGATCCGACCACTCGACTCAAGGCGTTTCGGAAGGTTCTAAATGTGATCGATGGGAGTAATGTTTGCAGGAGGCCCACTTATCTTTTCTGTCAGTTGTTTCACTTTAAAGGTATCCCTTGACTACAGTATTGCGAGTTTATTCCCACTATATCTTTAACTTTATAAGTTTCCCTCATGATACCCACATTACGTTCCCCAAGAACACTCTGTTTTGTCATCAGGAACAACCTACCATCACACTTTTCTCGGGATACCCCGGAATACCAACAGTTTTGCCATTTTCCCCCGGAAAGCATAGGGTTAACCCACATTACCTACGTAATTGCCAAACAATCCACAGCATGGTCCACTCTACCATGGGTTATCTACAGTACAATCAGCTTACCACAGGGATGATTACAGTTTAGCTTTCCATTTGATACCTTCAGTTTAGTCAGGTGTCCCTGAGATCCCTAAAGCATCGTTGATTTTTCCTTTCATGACTTCAGTTAAGTCAGCTTTCCAATTTAAACAACTCTTCCTGGGAGAGCCACACTTAAGACAGGTTCACCTGGCATACCTACAGTTTAGTCAAGTGTCCCTGGGATACCTACAGTTTAGTCAAGTGTCCCAGGCATACCTACAGGTTAGTCATGTTTCCCTGGGATACCTACAGTTTAGTCAAGTTCACGTGGGATACCTACAGTTAAGTCATGTTTTCCTGGGATTTCTACCGTTTAGTCAAGTCTCCCTAGGAGACCTAAAGTCAAGTCATGTTTTCCTGGGATATCTACAGTTTAGTCAAGTGTCCCTGGCATATCTACAGTTTAGTCAATTGTCCCTTGCATATCTACAATTTAGTCAAGTTTCCCTGGCATAGCTACAGTTTAGTCAAGTTTCCCTGGGATACCTACAGTTAAGTTATGTTTCACAGGCATATCTACACTTTAGTCAAGTGTCCCTGGGATACCTACAGTTTAGTCACGTTCACGTGGGATACCAACAGTTTAGTCAACTTTCCCTGGGATACCTACAGTTTAGTCAAGTTCACGTGGGATATCTTCAGCTTAGTCACGTTCACCTGGGATACCTACAGTTTAGTCAAGTGTCCCTGGGATATCTACAGTTTAGTCACGTTTCCCTGGGATATCTACAGTTTAGTCACGTTCACGTGGGATACCTACAGTTTAGTCAGCTTTCCCTGGGATACCTACAGTTTAGTCAAATTTCACTAGGATATCTACAGTTTAGTCACGTTCACCTGGGATATCTACAGTTAAGTCAGGTGTCCCTGGGATATCTACAGTTTAGTCACGTTCACTTGGGATATCTACAGTTAAGTCAAGAGTCCCTGGGATATCTACAGTTTAGTCAAGGGTCCCTGGGATATCTACAGTTTAGTCAAGTGTCCAAGGCATATCTACAGTTTAGTCAAGTGTCCCTGGGATACCTACAGTTTTGTCACGTTCACTTGGGATACCTACAGTTTAGTTAACTTTCCCTGGGATACCTACAGTTTAGTCAAGTGTCCCTGGGATACCTACAGTTCAGTCAAGTGTCCCTGGGATACCTACAGTTCAGTCAAGTGTCCCTGGCATACCTACAGTTTAGTCAAGTGTCCCTGGGATACCTACAGTTTAGTCACGTTCACGTGGGATACCTATAGTTTAGTCAGCTTTCCCTGGGATACCTACAGTTTAGTCAAATTTCACTAGGATATCTACAGTTTAGTCACGTTCACCTGGGATATCTACAGTTAAGTCAGGTGTCCCTGGGATATCTACAGTTTAGTCACGTTCACCTGGGATATCTACAGTTAAGTCAAGAGTCCCGGGGATATCTACAGTTAAGAAAAGTGTCCCTGGAATACCTACAGTTTGTTCAAGTGTCCCTCGGATACCTACAGTTTAGTCATGTTCACCTGGGATATCTACAGTTTAGTCAAGTGTCCCTGGAATACCTACAGTTTAGTCAAGTGTCCCTGGGATACCTACATTTTAGTCAAGTGTCCCTAGGATATCTACAGTTAAGTCAAGTTTCCCCGGCATACCTACAGTTGTGTCAGATTCACCTGGCATACCTACATTTTAGCCAAGCATCCGTGGGACACCTACAGTTTAGGCGGTTTTCCTGTGATATCATCAGTTTAGTCAAGTTTTCCTGAAAAATACCTAAAGTTTAGTTAAATTTTTCCTGGAATATCTACACTTTAGTAAGCTTGCACGGTGATTTCTACAGTTTAGTCAGCTTTCCCTGGGATACCTATAGTTTCGTCAATTTTCCCTGGGATACCTACAGTTTAGTTAACTTACACCTGGGAAAGAATCTGACATTTGTCGTTGACACATGCAATGTCGTGTCAATAAGCTTGTCAGCCATTTTAAAACAGAAAACATTTTTAGACAGTCTGAAAAGTTATCGCTTATCGTGTGATAACAGAAATCTGGGCATTTTATATCACAAGGCACACAGAAACGTACACAAGACTCAGTTAGTTAATTCAGTCACCCTGTAGGTATATTTTCGCAATACTGCCAGAGTCGCCTAATTTTGTCCTCAAGGTATCATTGAAAATCTTACCCACAATTCGAAGTTGAATCTTCATAGTAACCATCTTTTCTAATACCAATCGGTTAGACCTTACTTCAGCAAGCTTTAGCAGTTACTGACTATAATAACGCACATCCCCGAAAGTCACTTCATATCAATAAAACAATGGAAACATTATGGTGGGCATGTAACAATGAAGATGTAAATATTTTAAATAGTTCCGATATGGTCGACTTACGGTTTTATGTTTTCCGACTGGTGTATGGAGATAGCTTCACGTCCTATGTCGACAAAGACCGACCTGTCTCTCAGTCGCGCGTTCAATGTTTTCTTGCCTACCATTAACCCTTTCTGCCCAACACAGTCCCTGTGGACGAGGCTATTGGATCAAATCAGTCTTGCGACGAGTATATGTTGCCTTATGTAAAGAAAGAAGAGTATGTAAATCGAATGGAACGTTGACATATTTCTCTATGTAATCATTGAATACATATCAGGATCAAATAACAACACACATGTATACCTAACTTGAAAATGGACAGGTGCCTTGACGGTTCGTTTCCTATAAGCATGCACCCGACACCGGCAGCTCTATCCCTTATTGTAGTGATTATACTGCTATGAAAGTGTATTTGATAAAGGCGTATTAGTGAAGTGATTAACTCTAAGAATACATTGTGAGCTAAGTTAGTTGATGCTTTATCTCGGAAAATGGTTTTTGTCGAAACAAGTTTCAACAGTACCAACATTTTCAGATAGGTGTACTGATCGGGAGAGCTAACAAACAACATATCCTTGAAGGTACATCGCGTTATTGAAAGCTTAAACAGTTGTTGTTGCTGCCATCACTTGACTCATCAAGTGTTAAAATTCACGAGTTTAAACCAAATAAGTAGACATTGGTGTTGGATCGATGGTGCGAGCCTCGCTCCGCTTGTCGGTTAGCCTTACCGTGGTATTTTGTACGACCTAATCGATGTAGAACACAGGCTGGTGGCATATACAGCGACCGTATTCCATTGATTTCTCTTTCAGTTATAACAAATGACGTTTCGGAAGAATACTGAAGATGATATATGAAACTCGACATATAATATATATATATATATGAAACTGAGTAAAGCTAATGCTAATACACCTAAAGATCACTTTTATATATATGCTCATATGTGTTGAGATCTAATATATGCACATGCTTGTTCTTTCGCTTTTTGATATGGAGATAATGTGGCTTTATGATCACATCTTCAATTTGGTTCACTACGAAGGCTTGTCAAGGGAACTCTTGATCCCTTTGAAGTCATTCCTGTGACTAGTGAACTGAAAGAGAAAGCCAGTAAAATCCGCCGAACCTGAAAGTATTGTAACCATAAGGTGGGTACACCGATAGGTTGACTGAATTTAAATCATTTAAATTAGTCTCATCACTGACATCGTCTACCAAAATCCCTATAACAGCACTGTTTTGCTATAATTAATCAAAGATGAAATGAGAAGGGTGTGTGTTTCTAATAGGTAACATTATCTTGATAAGCAAATGTGAGTATGTATGTATTACATTATCTTGATAAGCAAATGTGAGTATGTATGTATTGCATTATCTTGATAAGCAAATGTGAGTAGGTATGTATTGCATTATCTTGATAAGCAAATGTGAGAATGTATGTATTACATTATCTTGATAAGCAAATGTGAGTAGGTATGTATTACATTATCTTGATAATCAAATGTGAGTATGTATGTATTACATTATCTTGATAAGCAAATGTGAGTAGGTATGTATGTATTACGTTATCTTGATAAGCAAATGTGAGTATGTATGTATTACATTATCTTGATAAGCAAATGTGAGAAGGTATGTATGTATTACATTATCTTGATAAGCAAATATGAGTAGGTATGTATGTATTACATTATCTTGATAAGCAAATGTGAGTATGTATGTATGTGTGTATGTATTACATTATCTTGATAAACAAATGTGAGTATGTATGTATTACATTATCTTGATAAGCAAATGTGAGTAGGTATGTATGTATTACATTATCTTGATAAGCAAATGTGAGTAGGTATGTATGTATTACATTATCTTAATAAGCAAATGTGAGTATGTATGTATTACATTATCTTGATAAGCAAATGTGAGTATGTATGTATTACATTATCTTGATAAGCAAATGTGAGTATGTATGTATTACATTATCTTGATAATCAAATGTGAGTATGTATGTGTTACATTATCTTGATAAGCAAATGTGAGTAGGTATGTATGTATTACATTATCTTGATAAGCAAATGTGAGTAGGTATGTATGTATTACATTATCTTGATAAGCAAATGTGAGTAGGTATGTATGTATTACATTATCTTGATAAGCAAATGTGAGTAGGTATGTATGTATTACATTATCTTAATAAGCAAATGTGAGTATGTATGTATTACATTATCTTGATAAGCAAATGTGAGTATGTATGTATTACATTATCTTGATAATCAAATGTGAGTATGTATGTGTTACATTATCTTGATAAGCAAATGTGAGTAGGTATGTATGTATTACATTATCTTGATAAGCAAATGTGAGTAGGTATGTATGTATTACATTATCTTGATAAGCAAATGTGAGTAGGTATGTATGTATTACATTATCTTGATAAGCAAATGTGAGTAGGTATGTATGTATTACATTATCTTAATAAGCAAATGTGAGTATGTATGTATTACATTATCTTGATAAGCAAATGTGAGTATGTATGTATTACATTATCTTGATAATCAAATGTGAGTATGTATGTGTTACATTATCTTGATAAGCAAATGTGAGTAGGTATGTATGTATTACATTATCTTGATAAGCAAATGTGAGTAGGTATGTATGTATTACATTATCTTGATAAGCAAATGTGAGTATGTATGTATTACATTATCTTGATAAGCAAATGTGAGTAGGTATGTATGTATTACATTATCTTAATAAGCAAATGTGAGTATGTATGTATTACATTATCTTGATAAGCAAATGTGAGTATGTATGTATTACATTATCTTGATAAGCAAATGTGAGTATGTATGTATTATATTATCTTGATAAGCAAATGTGAGTATGTATGTGTTACATTATCTTGATAAGCAAATGTGAGTAGGTATGTATGTATTACATTATCTTGATAAGCAAATGTGAGTATGTATGTATTACATTATCTTGATAAGCAAATGTGAGTATGTATGTATTACATTATCTTGATAAGCAAATGTGAGTAGGTATGTATGTATTACATTATCTTGATAAGCAAATGTGAGTAGGTATGTATGTATTACATTATCTTGATAAACAAATGTGAGTATGTATGTATTACATTATCTTGATAAGCAAATGTGAGTAGGTATGTATTACATTATCTTGATAAGCAAATGTGAGTAGATATGTATGTATTACATTATCTTGATAAGCAAATGTGAGTAGGTATGTATGTATTACATTATCTTAATAAGCAAATGTGAGTATGTATGTATTACATTATCTTGATAAGCAAATGTGAGTATGTATGTATTACATTATCTTGATAAGCAAATGTGAGTATGTATGTATTACATTATCTTGATAATCAAATGTGAGTATGTATGTGTTACATTATCTTGATAAGCAAATGTGAGTAGGTATGTATGTATTACATTATCTTGATAAGCAAATGTGAGTAGGTATGTATGTATTACATTATCTTGATAAGCAAATGTGAGTAGGTATGTATGTATTACATTATCTTGATAAGCAAATGTGAGTAGGTATGTATGTATTACATTATCTTAATAATCAAATGTGAGTATGTATGTATTACATTATCTTGATAAGCAAATGTGAGTATGTATGTATTACATTATCTTGATAATCAAATGTGAGTATGTATGTGTTACATTATCTTGATAAGCAAATGTGAGTAGGTATGTATGTATTACATTATCTTGATAAGCAAATGTGAGTAGGTATGTATGTATTACATTATCTTGATAAGCAAATGTGAGTAGGTATGTATGTATAACATTATCTTGATAAGCAAATGTGAGTAGGTATGTATGTATTACATTATCTTAATAAGCAAATGTGAGTATGTATGTATTACATTATCTTGATAAGCAAATGTGAGTATGTATGTATTACATTATCTTGATAATCAAATGTGAGTATGTATGTGTTACATTATCTTGATAAGCAAATGTGAGTAGGTATGTATGTATTACATTATCTTGATAAGCAAATGTGAGTAGGTATGTATGTATTACATTATCTTGATAAGCAAATGTGAGTATGTATGTATTACATTATCTTGATAAGCAAATGTGAGTAGGTATGTATGTATTACATTATCTTAATAAGCAAATGTGAGTATGTATGTATTACATTATCTTGATAAGCAAATGTGAGTATGTATGTATTACATTATCTTGATAAGCAAATGTGAGTATGTATGTATTATATTATCTTGATAAGCAAATGTGAGTATGTATGTGTTACATTATCTTGATAAGCAAATGTGAGTAGGTATGTATGTATTACATTATCTTGATAAGCAAATGTGAGTATGTATGTATTACATTATCTTGATAAGCAAATGTGAGTATGTATGTATTACATTATCTTGATAAGCAAATGTGAGTAGGTATGTATGTATTACATTATCTTGATAAGCAAATGTGAGTAGGTATGTATGTATTACATTATCTTGATAAGCAAATGTGAGTATGTATGTTTTACATTATCTTGATAAGCAAATGTGAGTAGGTATGTATGTATTACATTATCTTGATAGGCAAATATGAGTAGGTATGTATGTATTACATTATCTTGATAAGCAAATGTGAGTATGTTAGTATTACATTACCTTGATAAGCAAATATGAGTATGTATGTATTACATTATCTTGATAATCAAATATGAGTATGTATGTATTACATTACCTTAATAAGCAAGTGTGAGTATGTATGTATTTCAGCCGACCTATCACCGAGACTGATACCCGATTTAGATGCGATATGTAGTGAAATACATGCATAAAAACATTTGGATGTCCTCTCATTAATCAGATGTCCCATCAGTCAGACAGCTTAAAACACTCAACTATATCGCCTAATGCACAGATAATCCCCAAGCTGTTACCTATATATAACTGGTTTGGTCCAACGGTTGGTGTCAGAAAACAGAAAGAGCACTGATTCCTTCACATATTAATCCATATTCAATTATGTAATTTGTCAGATTTTATATGACACATGAAACAATATTTAACCCCTGTCATTTTAGCTGTAAGAATGAAATGACCAGCTTTGTAGCATGAGATACTTACTGACCGTGGACAGCAAAATAGCACGTTGTACACGTAAAACATGCCGTCCACGGTGACACATCCTGGTTACTTGCATGTACCAATAAACGTTACCACCACGGGGTTCATTGATCGGGTACATCGAAGGAAGATCCCTCCAAAAGTGTTCATAACGGAAAAGGAAACATTGCGCTCAGTAGTTATGATTGAAACTTGCCATTCACAGAATGCATTTGTCAGACATTTTGGTAAATTTAAAAGCGTGATAGCCCGACTAATAGAACGATATCG